GCAGCAGGCTTGATTTTATTCAGAAAATAAAAAAAATTCTTGATTCCCTCAAGACACAAATTCCAGGTCAACAAAATCAAGCATCTTCGTCTAAAAAATCATCATCATCATCATCAGAAGACCCTGATTTATGTTATGAGAAATTAATCAAAAATTACATCAGCGTAACAGCACAATCACATCACAACTGACATCATCCATGACATCAGCTAGCACTTACTCCTAATGACATCATGGATGACATTAGAAAACACTTGTAATTTTTAGTTTTTGGCTATAAATAGACCCTCATATCACTTGTAAAGGACACACCTTACACTACACCTTACAAAACGGATTTCGCAGCTTTACAATCAATTCTTAACAAAATATTTTGATTTAATAAATCAGCTTGAAATTTAAAAATGCACAAAACAATTGCTAAAATTTCTTTTTTAATTTTAGGATAATTTTGTTGGGAATTATTCCAATTTTTTTGATGCAAGTGCAATAATTTGCTCCTTGTCATCTTTTTTCTGCTTTAAAATGCCACCGTAACCAATGTCTGATGCATTAGTCTCAACTATTTTAAATGCAGAAGGACCAGGGAGAGATAAGCAAGGAAGGTCTTTGACTTTAAATTTGATTTCTTTGATAATGTTGGTGTGGACTGAAGTCCACAGAGGTGGAGATTTTTTCAACATATCATGGAGAGGTTTTAGCAAATTCCTAAGGCTTGGAATGAAATCTGATACATAATTAACACATCCTAAAAATCTTTGAAGCTGGATTTTATCTAAAAGTTGGTCAGAAAATTTGTCATCAAATTGTATGAATCTTTGAATAGGGACAATGGTTCTCTGCTGGATATTATGCCCAAGAAATCGGATGTTGATTTGAAAAAGACTATATTTAGTCTTTGATAAAACTAATCCATTTTCTTTGATAACATTAAAGAAAACCTTTAGGTGTTGAAAATGATGATCTATGCTAGTAGAAAATACTAAAACATCATCAATATAAACAATAATAAATTTTGAAAAAGGATTAAAAATATCATCCATTATCCTTTGAAATTCGAATGGAGCATTTTTTAAACTAAATGGCACTACATTCCATTCGTATTGTCCAAATGGTACCGTAAAAGCAGTTTTATATCTTTCCGTGGGATCTATTTGAATTTGCCAAAATCCTAATTTTAAATCAAATTTTGAAAAGATAGTTGTAGCATAAAGCTGTTGAAGTAAATCCTTTTTGTTTGGAATAGGGTATCTAATCCAGCGAAGTACTTTGTTCAAAGGTTTATAATTGATGACTAATCGAGGGACACCTCATTCCATTTCAGAGTTTTTATTGACGTAAAAGGTAGCATAACTCCAAGGAGATTTGCTTGGAGAGATGATGCGCTTTTCAAGAAGATCATCGATTTCTTTTTGACAATGAATGGTTAGCTCGTGATTCATCTGGATAAGACGATCTTTTATGGGGGTGGTTTTTCATCAAAGTTAGGTTCGTAAGGGAGCCTAACAATGTGTTTCTTGCGATTCCAAAAAGGCTGTAGGTAAATCAGCACAAAGTTCTCTTTGGATTTTGGTTTCCAAAGTTTTTATCTTGGAATGGAGAGAAGAATCTCGAAGTTGCTGTTGTAACCTTTGGAACGCTACTTCTTCTTTGAGAAAATTGATATGTGCCTCTTTACTTTTTATTGTAGACAAGAACTTTGTCATCAGAGGCCTATCAAAAGGAAGAAGGGTTCTACCTCGTATACGTTCGATTAGAATTCTTTGTTTTATCACCATAAAAGGTATGAGCTCCTCGAGGAAGGGAGTTCCTAATATAACTGGATTAGTAAGGTCTTTCACTAATAGGAAATAACTTGAGGCCGACAATGGAGAATTTTCTAGGGAGGTTCTAACTTCAACATTGGAGAGTTTGGATGTAATTCCTAGTTTTTTGCCGTTAGCAACTCTAAGACATTCTTTGGATTTTTCAAAGAATTTGGTTGGAATGAGGCCTTCTTATATGCAGTTGAGATCTACACCTGTATCAAATAAGGCAATGATATCCAAGGTAAAAGACTTATTGACAATTAAGATGACTATCATATGCCATTTTCTTATGAAAATTATGGAGAGGTGGTTGATAAAAACTTCTTGTTCAACTGGTTTAGTTTCAGTTAGTTTGGGCTCTTCAGGTTTGGTAGAGAGCTGTTGGAGAACAAGACGGTCTAATTCTTGTCTGGCCTTAATTTCTCGAATTTCTTCCTTAAGGAATGCTATTTCAGTTTGGAGATCTTGGATAGTTACTACCTTAGGTTTTTGGGAAGGGAATCTACCGAGGATATAAATAATATTGTAGGTATTGGCAACTTGAGGATGATTGGAAAAGATATTAGAGGAAGATGTAGAAGGCTTATCTATTGTTCGTTTGAATTGCTCGAGATAGTACTTCTTTTGCTCAGAGTCTTAGAGATTGCTTATTATTTCAAAAATATTAAGAGCCAATACTTCTATTTTTCAGTAATAGAAGGGAGCTCAAACTGTATTCTAGTAAAGGTGAAGCTGTTCTTTTTAAAATAGATCTACAAAGATCTCATCTGTCAATACCAAAACCCATTTCTTGGAGCTAAGTTTCTCTACCACAAAACTGGTTACTTCAAGATGCTACTGAGGCTGAGAAACGAGAAATACTACGGTCTCTCACATCCAACAATATTCTAGCAGATCTATAGCCATCTCCTTCCAAAGGCCCCTTAGTCAAATAGTCTTTGTTTCTTCCTCTTAGGCACAATCTGAGATTTAGTCGGGAAGACATTCAATATCTTCCTTTTCTTCTAGGATCAAAACTGTTATCTTTGACTCTAGAATCGCACAAGCCAAATATTCTATAGAAACAGCCCCTCCGACAAAAGTTAATAATTGTGGAAGACGTGTTTTATAGACACAATTTGGCTCAAGTTCAAGTGTTCAATAGGAGTAGAGACGTCAATATGGGCGGGGCCGAGCCCATCCCATCCCATCCCAGCCCACGTGAGCTTTAGCAATTGACGAGCTGGCCTAGCCCACCATTTTGATCGGCCTTATAATGGTCAGCCCACCTCAGCCCTATGTGGGTTGCGAGCCCCCACGTGCCAGACCATCATTTTAAAAAAATATAATTTTATATTTTTTATTTAAGTTCTAACCAAAAAAAGATAAATATTTAAAAGTTAAAAAATCTTATTGGAAAATTTTCAAAAAAGTTAATAACTTTTTATACTGTTCCAATATATCACAATAAATACTAAAAAAGTAAAAGACAAGACTTTATTTCATTCACTAAAAGTCAAAACTCAAAACAAATTATTCATGAGAATGTCCATGACGCTTATAGGATATCTAACATATTATCTTCATCAAACACATTTGAATCCGCTTGTGAGAAGGTTGTCTTAATATCTTCACTTTCATCTACATCTACAATGCGTAAGCAATATTAATTAGTTAGATATTAAGAATAATTAAAATTTTAAAACTAATTAACGTTTTAAGACTTTGATCGTTTAATATGATGAGCTTAATAAACTTTAAGCTTGTGATACTCTTCTTCTTATTTTTTTTTTGTGTCATATACTTTTTATAGTTTATATATTTTAAATACGTATTTTTATTAGGCCCACGGGCTAGGCCAGCCCAACCTTAGTCAAGCCTCACGGGCCACGGGCTTACTCGGACCGGGCTTAAAAGCCTCGTTTTAAAATGGGCTCCAACAATTCTAGACTAGCCCTGCTAAATCATGGGCTGAGCTAGCCCATATTAACGACTCTAAATAGGAACATGTCTTAGTTTAGGTGTTCAAATGAAAAAAAAGGGACAAGGGGCCGCATATGTATTTGGTCTATACAATACCCGAAAGAAGCTGAGGTTTTGGATAGACTTAAATTTGTTGCACTATATAATGTTTTAAGTCTCTCATAAGAAATTCGGAAAAATAACAAAAGATGAAATAATTTCGGCAATCATTTACATAAACTGCCACAATTATGAACTCATCAAACGATGAGCAATAAGAATGCAACAAAGTAAATAGTCTCAAGCAGTCGGATATATACAATGCCATAATTATGAACTCATCAAAACGACGAGCAATAAGAATGCAACAAAGTGAATAGTTTCAAGCAATCGTTTACATGAACTGCCATAATTATGAACTCATCAAACGATGAGCAACAAGAATGCAACAAAGTAAATAGTCTCAAGCAGTCGGATACAGCAATTACCTCATCACTAAGCCCATCTGCAATATCTTTTAGCTGTGTTTCAGAAAACCAACTAAAAATACTGCATTCATCAGCATATGGTTATTGGTGATAAAATATACGCTAAGAAAAAGACCTAAGATACTTTTCTCACCAGATCAGTAGAAGTTGGACTACATACTAACATCTTAGAAAATTAAACCAAGTAATCGTTTCTATGTCTTTTGTTATTCAATTTCTTACTATAATATACAGACTACAAACAAAGATAATGGAAAAAACAATAGAAAATGTGGTACTAGAGAAATTACATACTAGATCTAACAAGTGAAACGAACCAACACGTGTAATGTGGTACTAGAGAGAATCATAGCTTTGTCTTATAATGACAAGTCTGGTTGGCGAGCTTCCTGTTAAGAACATCGATGTACAAATCGCAAGAAGTGGTAGTTTTCACGTGAATTTTGAAGAGAACTCGGACCACCCCTGACAATTTCACGTAAGTAGTGAGGGGAACCATACCAGAACCGGAACGGAAATCGGAATACAAACTGGAATTGGAAAACAATCGATCGGCCATTACGGTGAGGGTAATATTCATAGGACGCGTTTCACGGGAACCTATCCCGCCGGCCGGAATAGGGGCATCTCCGACGACCTGGCCCTTATACTGCAGGATGGCGGAAGTAGAGTCGTATTTGAACCCGACCCGGTTGGGATTTTTGACAGAAAGGTCAACCTGAAGGGTGACATTGAGGTGAACTTGGAGGATGTCGACGGAGAAATCCCGTAGAGAAACGGAGTTAACGGTAATGACAGGCTTTTTGGCTTTAAAAACGGTGAGGCCCAAGATGAGGAAGAGAAGGCCCAAAAGGAGAAGGATGGCGAGGCAGATGAAGCAGCAATTTCTTCCTCTTCGCGATCCGTAATTTGGAGGCGGTGTCATTCCGGTGGATTTGTTGCCTTGTTTTGATTCCACATCCATTTAGTTTTAGTGGTATATATAGGGACCGAGAATGAGATTCAGATACCTATACCACGTTAGCTGACAAATTGAGGGACCGAGAATCAGATACAGATACTTATACCACGTTAGTTGACAAACGGAGGGACCCGATATGCGTGTGCATCAATTAAACCCCCAACTAAGAAAAATGTTGTAATGACCAATCGATCGTTTTGAGTATTACAATTTTTTTTCCTCATTTACTGTTCAATTAATGCTTTACTGTATAAATTGACTGTTCAACTTCCTATTTTTCCATTTACTGCTCAACTCACTGTTTCCCCGGGGTGATTGGTTCGGGTCCGATGAGGTTTTGGAATGAATTGAAACACTTCGTTCCAAGGTTTAAAGCTTAGGTTAAAATAGTGACCGGATATCGATTTATGTGTAAACGACCCCAGAATAGAGTTTTGATTATTCCAATAGCTCTGTATGGTGATGTTGGACTTAGAAGTGTGTCCGAAAAACTATTTGGAAGCCCGTAACTAAATTACGCTTAAAATGGCTAAAATAGAAATTTAAGTTTGGAAGTTTGACCGGAGAATTGACTTTTTGATATCGGGGCCAGAATCCGATTCTGAAAATTGAAATACCTCTGTTATGTCAGTTATGACTTGTGTGCAAAATTTGAGGTCAATTGGACTTGATTTGATAGGTTTCGGCGTTGAATGTAGAAGTTGGAAATTTTTAGTTTTATTAAGCTTGAATTGGGGTATGATTCGTGGTTTTAGCGTTGTTTAAGGTGATTTGAGGGCTTGACTAAGTTCGTATGATATTTTGGAACTTGATAGTATATTTGGTTGAGATCCCGGAGGCCTCGGGTGAGTTTCAGATGGCTAACGGATAAATTCGGACTTAAAACCACTACTGGAAATTTTGCTTCTAGTTTTCTCGCACCTGCGGAGGTCTGATCACAGGTGCGAAGCCACATGTGCGCACCAGCCTATCGCAAAAGCGTCCAGGCGTGAAGAGGGGAAGTGGTCGCAGGTGCGAAGAAATTTCCGCACCTGCGAGGTCGCAAGTGCGAAGTTATGCACGCAAAAGCGGAAAAAAGGGGAAGGGGAGATGGCTTCGCAGAAGCGAAGAAAACGTCACATGTGCGACTCCGCAGGAGCAGACTTCCTGTCCGCAGAAGCGAAGGAATTCTCGCGTTAAATTCTGCAGAAGCGAAAAACCCTAGACAGTATAAAAACAAAGGGGTTCCGAGGTTTAGCCATTTTTGGGCATTTCAAGCTCGGGTTGGGCAATTTTTGAGTGAGGTTTTCACGGGAATTCTTGAGGTAAGTCACTTGTGATTATTTTTACTCCATAATATTAAATTATCATCGAATAATCCGACCAGATTACATGTTTTTGAGGTGTAAATCGAGGTCTGGTCCTAGGGATTTGAAAATAAGATTTGAGGATTTGGAGGTCGTGTTCAGGTCGGAATTTAGTAAAATTGGTATGGTTGGACTCGTGGTTGAATGGGTTTCTATATTCCGTAACTTTTGTCGGTTCCGAGACGTGGGCCCCACGGACGATTTTTGGGTGAAATTTTGAATTTTGTTGGAAAATTTGTGTTTTCATATAGAATTAATTCCTATAATTGGTATTGACTGAAACAAATTATTTATGGCTAGATTCGAGACGTTTGGAGGCCGATTCGCGAGGCAAAGGCATTGCAGAATAAAGAATTTCATGGTTTGAGGTAAGTAACAGTTCTAAATTTGGTCTTAAGGGTATAAAACCCCGGATTATGTGCTATGTGATTGGTTTTGAGGTGACGCGCATGCTAGGTGATGGGCGTGCACTGTAGAAATTGTGACTTGGTCAATTCCATGAAACTGTGTAGTTGAATAATCTATTGATATCCTTACACTTTTTCATGTATTTAGAGAAATTAATCTATAAATCATGTTTAAACTATGTGTTGACATTGTTGGGATCTATATAGGTCGTGTACATGTTGAATTATCTGCTAAATTATTGTTTCATACCGAGTCACGATTTTTACTCGCATATTACATCTCAGTCTCTCTTATTCATTATTGATGCATCATATTATTGTTGTTGGGCTGCTTATCATGATTTTGAGAGCCCGAGATACTAGAGAGATTGATGACTGAGTGAGACCGAGGGCCTAATTATGAGGATATTTATGGGATCGGGATGCATGCTGTAACATGTTTCATTGATTTACACTATGATTGGCTTGTTATAACGCTAGGGCTGAAGGAGCCCCTCTGGAGTCTGTACATACCTCCAGTGAGCGCATGTACCTACTGAGTGCGAGTGCCGAGTGCCGAGTGCCGAGTGCTGAGTGATTGAGAGGAATGAGTGACTGTGAGGAAAGAGTGAATGTGAGATTGGAGTGAATAGGAGGACTGAGTGACTGTTACCCTGAGAGGGTGCATTGATTTCATTATTGATGCATTTCAACTGTCATATATCATTGTTTTGGAAATTTCTGAAAGGCATTATCCTCTGTTTCAGTCGAAGTTGATATGAAATTACTGTGAAATTTTAAATGTTGAACTTGAGAGCATGCCTACCCTTTTATGTTAAAAATTACTGTATTTGGACTTAGCTGTGAAGCTTGTCACTACTTTTAGTCCTTATTTATTATTGTTACTTACTGAGTTGGTTGTACTCATACTACATCCTGCACTTCGTGTGCAGATCTAGGTGATCCCGGACACAGTGGGTGTTGATTCTTTCGCACAGTTGATTTTTCAGAGATTCAGAGGTAGCTGTTGTGTTTCGCAGACCTTGTCTCTCCTTCCCTATCTCCTTGTTTACTGTATTTGGTCTCAGACTATTATAGACCGTGTTTTCTAGACTTGTGATGTATAGATACTCATGTACTCAGTGACACTAGATTTTGGGAGTGTATTTATATCCAGTATTTGTGGGATTTTCTCTTAAATTTAATTATTATGTTTTCAGTATTTAAAAGAAATTGTGGGTTATTGATATTGTCGGCTTACCTAGTATTGAGATAGGCGCCATCACGACAGGTTAGGATTTTGGGTCCTGACAAGTTGGTATCAGACCTTAGGTTACATAGGTCTCACGAGTCATGAGTAGGTTTAGTAGAGTCTGGCGGATCAGTACGAAGACGTTTGTACTTATCTTCGAGAGGCTGCCGAACCCTTAGGAAAATTTCACTTTATTGTACTCTATCGTGCGAATTTGTTGATTCTGAAAACTAAATTTCTGTTATTTTATTCTCTCACAGATGGTGAGAAAACATATTATCGGATCGGACGGTCGGCTACCAGTGCCACCAGTTAGGGCCGCGAGAGGCCTGGGTCGTGGTACAGGCCGGGGACGAGGTAGAGGTCGAGGTGTAGCTCGTACATCAGTTGGAGTAGCACCTGTAGCACCACCAGTTGCTCCATCTTAGGAGAAGATTTCAGATATAGTTGAGCCGGCAGGACCAGCTTAGGCACCAGTTGTGCCCATTGTGATTCGAGGCCTTCAGGAGGCTTTGGCCCACATATTGACAGTTTGCATTAGCCTTGCTCAGGTGGTTTCGGCTCAGGCCGCACCAGCCACCTCTCAGACCGGGGGAGGTACTCATACCCTTGTTGGCCGTACTCCAGTGCAGGTAGTGCAGGGACTTCAGATACCTGGGGCACTACCAGCCCAGTCGACTGCAGCTGTTCAGGCCCCGGTAGTCCCCGTTATGGCAGATGATGAGCAGAGGAGACTTGAGAGATTTGGGAGGCTTCGACCTCCATCGTTTTGCGGTGATGAGTCAGAGGATGCTCAGGGATTTCTGGATAAGTGCCAGTGGATGTTGCAGACAACGGGTATTCTGGAGACCAATGGGGTCTCGTTTACTACTTTTTTGTTTTCTGGGGCTGCCTTCAGATGGTGGGAGGCTTATGAGAGATGCAGGTCGGTCGGTGTAGTACCACTTACATGGCAAGAGTTCTCTATTATCTTTTTGGAGAAGTTCGTACCGCAGTCTCGCAGGGAGAAGCTGCATAGACAGTTTGAGCAGCTTCGGCAGGATGGCATGTCTGTGACCCAGTACGAGATGAGATTTTTTGAGTTGGCTCGCCACATAATTTGGTTGGTTCCCACTGATAGGGAGAGGATTATGAGGTTCATTGATGGCCTCACATACCATTTGCGGTTACTTATGACTCGGGAACGGGTATCTGGTGCTACTTTTGACGAGGTGGTTGACATTGCTCGGCAGATAGAGGTGGTCTGTAGCCTGGAGCGAGGAGAGTGGGAGGCCAAAAGGCCTCGTAGATCGAGTGGTTTCAGCGGTGTTCCTTCAGGGGGTCAGTATTACCATGACATGGGTCGTCCTTACAGACACGCTCAGACGGGTCGTCCAATTCACTGTGGTACATCATCCAGCCATGGTTCACATAGTTCTCATCAGGGTCATTCATCTCTCAGTGCCCTTCCAGCCCAGAGTTCATCCTTTTCTCCTTCAGTTCAGGGTTCATTTGTACCGGGTGCTTCTAGCGGTTATTTTGGTTCTCAGGGACCAATTCAGTCCTCACCACCACCAGTACTATGGAGTTTCTTTGAGTGTGGGGAATTTGGGCATATATGGAGGCAGTGTCCTCGTCGCCCGAGAGGTCCAGTGCAGCAGAGGAGTCAGACTATGAATTCAGCACCAGTTACTTCGCCACCCGCCCAGCCAACTCGGGGTAGGGGTCGCCCAAGAGGGGGAGGCTGACCAAGTGGCGGTCATGCCCAATTCCTTATTTTTTTTGTCAGGCCAAATGCCATTGCTTCAGATGCAGTAATCTCAAGTATTTTCTCAGTGTGCCATAGGGAAGCTTCTATATTATTTGACCATGGTTCTACTTATTTGTATGTATCATCGTACTTTACTCATTATCTGGATATGTCCTGTGAGTCTTTAGTTTCACATGTTCGTGTATATATCAGTCTTGTGTGGTAACTATTGGGGTACTAGAGACTAGAGTTGATCTTTTATTGCTCAGTATGGTTGATTTTGATGTAATCCTGGGTATGGATTGGTTGTCTCCATG